CCCCGCCAGGCCCCGCGCCCCCCGCAGCAGCATCCGGCCCCGCCCCCTGCTCGAGTGACAGCTCCCTCAGCCAATGGCCGCCCGGCACGGCCAACGGGGTGGGAGTTAAGGGGAGGAAGCGACCAATAAGGAACAGGGGGCGTGGCAGCGAATCCGGAAGTGGCGGCGGAGCGGCCACGTGAGGAGCGGCGGGGACATGGTCCGGGGACCGGGACCGGGACCGGGACCGGGACCCGCACGGGGACCGCGGCAGAGACCGGGACCGGGACACAAACAGGGACAGAGACCGGGATCGGGGCAGAAACAGGGCCGGGGACCAGGACCAGGACAGGGACAGAAACCGGGACCGGGACAGAGACCAGGACAGAAACCAGGACCGGGACAGAAAGCGGGACCGAGATCGGAACATGGACAGGCCGTTCCGCGGCGCAGCAGGTCAGCGCCCGCGGGATCCGGTCGGGATCGTGCCTGGGACATGGACCCCAGGGGGGGTCTCGGAGCGCGGGTGGGCCCTGGCGGGGGTCCCACACTCGAAGGCTGGGTCCTGATCTCTCCCCGTGCCCGGTTCCGGATGTTTCCCTGTGCCTGGTCCTGATCTCTCCCCATGCCTGGGTTCCAGTGTCTTGCTGTGCCCGAGTCCTGATGTCTTTCCATACCTGGATCCTGGTATCCTGCCATGCCCAGGTCCTGGTGTCTCAGTGTCCGGGTCCCGCCATCCCAGTGTCCCAGTGCCCCAGTGCCTGTGTCCTGGGGTTCCATCCCCCGAGTCCTGCTGTCCTGCCATGCCCGTGTCCCGAAGTCCCAGCCTCCAGCTCCTGGTACTTCCCTGCAGGCCTCTCACTGTGCTCATTCCCTGCAGGAAGGAGAGGAAGGTGGACAACATGAAGCCCAAGCACCCCGAGGAGCAGGAGATCCCGTTCCGCCTGCGGGAGATCATGCAGAGCCGCGAGGCCATGAAACGCCTGGGCCAGGGGAAGAGGAAGGCAGCAGGTGGGACACGGAGCTGGCCTGAGCAGGTGGCCCAGGGCCTGGCCCAGGAGCCCATGGCACAGCTGGAATCTGCCATGGGAGCTCCTTGTCCCTCTGGTGATGTCCTAGCCTTGCCCTGGCAGCAGGAGGGACCCTGGGGTGTCACTGCTGCAGTAATGTCCCCTGTCTCTCCTAGAGAAGAAGCAGCAGCAGCAGAAGCCCAAATCCAAGGGGGACATCCCGGTGCCCAGGTTCCGGAGGGGGAAGGGGGAGTCGGAGCGTTCCTACATCTGCCGCATGGAGCAGGAGGTGCAGCACGTCCTGTTCCTCACCGAGAACCAGCTCCAGCGGGAGCCTGAGCGGGAGGACACAGCCCCAGAGAAGTCCCAGAGGAAAAAAGAGTGAGAGCAAGGCCATGGGGGCCAGATGGGGCCAGCCCAGGCCTGTGGCCTGTCCCCCTGCTCGGTTCTGCAGGGCAGGTCTGGCATTGGCAGTGGCTGGTGGGGCAGGTGGGGGGTTATGGACCCCCTCTCCATGGATTTGGATCTCTGGGAATGGAGCCACAAGCCTCCTGGGGGGCGAGCTGTGGGATTTGTGTGGCTCCTGGGGGGTAGGGACTCACCTCCTTGCTCCCGAGCCCTGGCCACAATGAGGCTCCTCAGGTTTCAGAAAAAGAAGCTGGAAAAAGCTCGGAAGAAGAAGGAGGAGAAGAAGGCGGACATGCTGGAGAAGAGCCTGTTCCAAGGTGGGGCTGGAGCAGGGTGGGCTGGAGTGACCCCCAGCCCTGGGGGGCAAGCTCATGGAGGGAGGGGATTGGGAAGCCGGATTGGCACATCCCCAGGGGCTCTGACCTGACTCTGGTTTCCCTCACAGACACGGTGGCGTTTGGGGAGGTGGTGACACAGCCACCCACCATCACCTCACGGCCCCGGGGACGGGGTCCTGCCGAACAGGTGAGCTCTGGGGACAGTGCCACTCCCCCGGGTACCTGCAGGGCTGGGGTGGCCTCAGTGGAGCGGTGGCAGCTCCTGGCAGCGTGGTCCTGGTGTCTCATCCTTCATCCCTGAGCTGTCCCGGCTCTGCCCACAGGCTGGACGGAAGCGGCTCCTCCTGACACCTCAGCTGGGCCGGAGCCAGGCGTCCCCCGTGTCCCCCGTGTCCCCAGTGATGTCTATGGCTCGCCGGCGCATCGTGGAGGAGGAGCGGGCGCGGGTCATCCAGGCCTACAGGGACATCCAGAGGCGGAAACAGCTCCAGCGGGAACGTTCCCAGGCTGGGCACAGGGCCCTGCACTGAGCCCACCCTGGTCCCTCTGCAGAGACCGTGGGACTTGAAGGGGACATTGTTGTGATGCTCTCCTGTTGCTGCTGAGCTCTGGGACTCCCACAGACTCCCCGGAGTGGGGTCCCTGTGGTGCCACGGACCTGCTTGGAGTAAAAGTGCCAGTGGGAGCTGATGGCATGAGCATGTCTGTGCTACGGCCCTGCCCGAGTTCCTAAGGGACACTGCTGTGCAGGCAGATGGCAGTGCCAGGCATGTCACTGTCACCACAGGCTGGCCCTGGCAGGGCTCTGGTGAGGGCAGGACCCTCATTGCTCAGCCTTGAGGAGACCCCAGTGCCTGGCCATGACCCCTCCAGCTCCAGTCCTCAGGGGGAGGAAAGCAAGGCAGTGCTGAGGACATGGAGCATCCCACAGGGCTTACCTGCACAGCGTCACCTCCCTGTGGTGTCACTGCTCATGGCACTATGGAGCCCCTGGTCTGCGGCCGCGCCACCCGTGCCCTCGGCACTGCTGCCTGTGTGCCCCCCTGGCCCTGGCAGACCCCTGATGACCCCGGTGCCAGGTGTGCTGCCACATCCCCACCACTGCACCCACACCCCCGCCGTGCCACCCGCCCCATCCGTGCGATGCCCCCCGGCAGCCCCCAGCTCCGGGCCCCGGGGAGGCTCCGGGGGCTGCTCCCGGCGTGGCTCAGCCGTGTCTGCCCTCACCTGCCCGCACAAAGGCCCCGCTGTTCCACGGCCCCGCCGGCACAAAGCATTCCCTGTTGGAGCGGGGCTGTGGCCGGCGCTGGCGGCACCGGTGGGATCCCGCGCTTCCGGAGGGGCTGGGCATGGGAGGGAGCCACCGGCAGCTCCGCTGTCCCCACCAGAGCTGAGCAGGGACAGTCTCTACCGCCCTGCTTTTCGGGGTCACCACTGTGCCCCTTGGGAGGTGGACAGGCCTTTGGGGTTGTCACACACTGGACCCCGCTCTGCCACATGGTGCCAGTGGCTGGGAGGAGGGAGCGCTGGGGTGACAGTGGCCCTGGGGACACCGAGTGCCTGGCGCTGCTGGGCGATGTTCCTTCTGCCACCTGGCACCAGGTAAACACAGGTGCCAGGTAAACACAGGTACCAAGTAAACACAGGTACCAAGTAAACACAGGTACCAAGTAAACACAGGTACCAAGTAAACACAGGTACCCAGTAAACACAGGTACCAAGTAAACACAGGTACCCAGTAAACACAGGAGCCAGATAAACACGGGAGCCAGGTAAACACGGGTGCTGTGGGGGGGCACGGCCACATCCCACTGCAAACACCCGCCTCCCATGGCTGTGTGTCTGGAGCCGGGAGCGTGGGCGTGTGCCAGCCAAGGGCACGGTGGGGACATGGCATGTGCCACACTCCCACTGTGTCCCCCTCGTGTGGGGACTGTGCAGGGCACACGTGCCCGCTGGCAGCCCCTCCGCCGCCATCCCGGCTCCAGCTCAAGGAGAGCAGGTCACCCGCCTGCCCCCACGGAGCCATTCCAGCCCTGAATAATTCATGGCACCGATGGCCGCAGGCTTCCTGCCCAGAGGAGGAGGAATGGCTGTGGAGGGGAAGGCAATCCGAGCGGGAAAACCACCGCGACCTTGGCACGTCCTCCATGCTGCGCTGCCTCCTGCCCGGCAGCCCATCTGCCCACGGGATCCCGGCCCAGCCGCCCTATCTGGGAGGGCTGGAGGTGCTGAGGGCCCTGCCTTGAGCCCCCCTTTGCTCCCTGTCACCCCCCAAAAGGGGAACGTGGCACTGAGCCTGCAGGCACCGTGGTGGGATCAGAATGGGGGAGCAGCTGGTGACACACCTGGGGACACCTCCCATCATGGGCCACCTGTGACAGCACCGTAGGAAAAAACACCTTTATTGGGGTGACCTGAAAAAAAATGGGGAAGAGGAAAAATAACGGAGAAAGCCGCAGGAAGGGCGAGGGGCCCAGCCCCCTCCCCAGAGGGGTCCCCGAGCCCTGAGGGGGGAAGGCACCGAGAAGGCGGCTGGAACTGTGGGGCCCCAGCAAGGCACTGATCCCCCAGGCCCCCAGCAGCCCCCCTTCCCCAGCAGTGGGGAAACCGAGGCATGGCAGGAAGCAGAGCCAGGGACAGCTTTGTGTCCCCTCACACCCCGTGGTGGGAGGGGGCCGGGCCAGCTCAGGGTCCCCAGGGCTGGTGGGGTCAGCATGGAGCCAGGGGCTCAGTGCCCTGGGTGGGGGTCCCACCAGCTCCCCAGCTTCAGAGGGTCCATGGCCCGGGGGGACACAGGATATCTGTGCATCACAAAGGCAGTGAGCCAGTCCTTGAGGCAGGCTGTGGGGTCCGGGCAGAGCTGGCAGCTTGCGGGTGCCATGGCCAGGTGGGACAGGCAGGTGGGAGCGCTGGCTCTGGGGCCGTATCCGGGCATCCCATTGGCAGGAACTGGCTCTGGCTGCTGGCCAGAGTGGGATTCACACGTCAGGGCAGGATGAGGCTTGGCGAGACCTCGGGAGCAGGACGGAGGGGCCGCGGCTGTGCCAGTGCTGCGGGACCTGAGCCACGGGGGCTTCACCACCGGTTCCTGCTGTACGGGGACTGCACCTGCGGGCAGAGCGAGGTGGCACAGCAGTGGCACCAGGACTGTGGCTCCTGCGCCGGTGGCATGTGCACCCTGACCCACCGGGGGTCTCTGGGTGCTGGGCAGAGCCATCACCACGGCAGGCAGACTTTGCCCCCGCCATGGCCGGGTGCCCGCTGCTATTCACCCACCTGGAAGCTCCGGGTGTCCCGTGGGGTGCCGACGTGCCGGGCTTGTGCTGCAAAGGCGTCCTCGGCTCGGAGCGTGGAGCTGGCACTGCCGGGGGCCGGGCTGGTGGAGGCACGGGGCAGGATCACATCGTAGGGACCTTCACTCTGAGGGACAGACATGGGAGGTGTCACAGCACTGGGAACACCCCCAGCCCTGCAGGGTCCCGGGGGAGGAAGGCTCAGAGGGTGTCCCCCCCGTTACAGCAGCCATTGGGACACGGGGGTCGTGGCAGCCCCCACCCCCTCACCCCCTGTCCCCCATCCCAGCTGCTCCAGTTGGAAGCCCGATAGGATGTGGCTGCCCCCAGTGCCACCTGGTGTCACACTCACCATCCCCTTGTGCATCAGAGCCATCTCGGTGGGCTGGTACACGCTGGTCAGCAGCTGCCCGTTGTAGCCGCTGTACGGGGACACCGGTTTCTTGGCTGCTGAGACACAGGGACGGTCACCACGGAGCCACCCCCCCTCACCGGGGCTCCTGGTACCTCGTTAGCAGGTTTAATGAGCTGACTCAGCAGCTCTGTGCCTTTCCCAGGGACACTCCTGTCCCCAGGGTTGGCATCTCTGCGCTCCCAGCACTGCCCCTGCCTGGCTGCGGTTTGTTATTGTAGGGTCTCGTGGGTGCAGGTGCTGCTCGGGGGGACCCTCCCTGCCCCGTGGGGTACAGACACCTGGTGCCTGCCCGTGATGCCCACTGGGGTGACTGTCACCACCCCATGTTATTGTAGGGTCTCGCGAGTGCAGTGTCTGCCCGGGGCAGAGGGCCGGGAGCCGCGGGCACCCCACGCTGGGGAGGGAGCACCCAGCGGCTGCTGGGCTCAGCCCAAACTGGTAGGCCCAGCCTGGCCAGTTCTTGGGAACCACAACAGGCGTCAGTCCCTGGCAGGTCACTGCCAGACGTCTCATCACCCACCCACTGCTGCCACCCCCGGTGGGGACATCCCTGAGGGTCCCCATGAGTGAGGGTCCCTGGTGCCTGTTGGCAGCTCCACCACGGGGCAAGAGGGTCCCTGGTGAGCCCCAGTGTCTGCCAGCAGCCCTGCCACGGTGTGAGAGGGTCCCTGATGAGGATCCCTGGTGCCCACCAGCAGCCCCACCGTGGGGTAGGAGGGTCCCCGTGAGCCCCAGCACGCACCGAAGGAAGGCTCATCCATGGAGAAGGCTTTGTTCTCCACGAACATGCTCTGGGACTTCTGCTCCTTGAGGATGGTCTCGTAGCCCACCCCGCGCGTGGGGTAGCCGTCGTCCTCGAAGGCCTGCTCAGGGCTGCGCCGCGTCACGTGCGTCACCTCGGGGATGACGTAGAGCAGGAGGAAGGCGCAGGCGTTGCTGACCAGCGCGATGGCCAACGTGGGGTCATCCCAGCCGGGCTTGTGGCCGGCGTGCTGGTTCCCGTAGAGGTACATGATGGTCCACGCCACCCAGATGGCCACGGAGAGGCCGGTGGTGGCCAGGATGAAGGCGCTGTGCTTGCGCCAGCGGCCGTAGCGGCCGCAGAGGGTCGGCCAGGCCGTGCTGAAGGCGGCTGCCAGCAGGAACATGACGTAGATGAGTGCCATGACAAAGTCAGCATCCGCCAGCTGGCAGGGGTCCGGGGGGCCCTCTTGCCGTGCCACCGTGATGAGCAGCCACTCGGCGTTGATGATGACCTCCACCGAGGCGAGGGACAGGGCCACCGCCAGCGTCACCCAGCCCCGCGGCGCACGGTTCCGCCGCGCCAGGAAGTTGAGGGCCATGGCGTGTGCCAGCAGGCAGGAGAAGCAGATCCCAAAGAGGACACCGAAGAGGAAGCGGCGGGAGGTGCAGGTGGAGAAATCCGGCCCCACGATGAAGTCGAAGGTCAGGCAGAACAACCCGAAGGTGCCCAGGAGGAAGAAGACCTGCGTGGCCACCAGGCTCTTCTTCTGGGGGTCCTGCACGAAGGGCAGGCTGGCCACCAGCACGATGGTGAGCACGAAGGTGGTCACCACGCCGAGACTGGCCACCGCCTCCACTGCGATGCCCCAGCCCGCCGAGAGGTCACAGAGGTTGTAGTAGAGGGAGGAGAGGCCGTAGCTGCAGCCCGGGGGTGGGGTGGGCTGCAGGGTGGGCTGCAGGGTGGACTGCGTGGCCGCCGTGGGGAGCAGGGCCAGCAGCACGGCCGCGGGCTCCATCCTGCACCGCGGCACCCGGGGACCCTGCGGGACACAGCGGGGTCAGGGCATGGCGACCAGGGACATGGATCAGCTCCTGGCTCGGAGCATCCCTGCACACAGCCCCCCCCGGCCATCCCACAGCAAGGAGTGAGGTCCCGGGAGCCCTGTCTGTGCTGGCCCAGCTGAGCCCACCCCAGCAGGACCAGGGAGCTCCAGATGGGACCAGGCAGCCAAGTGTCCCCCATCGACTCCTTTCCTGGAGGCTGGTGGCAGCTGAGGGGAAATCTCCGTGCCCCGCATGTTCCCTCCTGACACGGGAATTCTCTGGGGCTGTGCCCATCCCTGCCACTGGTGCCAGGAGCAGGCAGCACTGTGCCCACTGGCTTCCTGGGAACACCGAATGTGGGCCCAGGCTGGATGGCAGAGGTGATACTGGAGGACAGGGCTGACCCTTTGCCTTGTCCCTGCATGCCACCACGTTCCTCTTCTCCTGTCCCACTTCCCTCCTCTGGCTCCGGGCACTGGCCCAGTGCAGGTCTCGTGTCCGGCCCACTGGCACGTAGGCAGCCGCAGCCTGGCACAGCACGGCACGGCACAGCCTGGCACGGCACGGGGTCCCGGTCCCTGTCCCCACTGCTGCCACCCAGGAGTGGGCACAGGGAAGAGGAGGCAGCAGAGAAGCTGCAGCCCCACTGCTGAGGGGAAGAAATGGGGAGGACACACCCGGCAAGCTGACTCCGGGGCCAGGACCCCTTGCTCCCCTAGGGGCACCCCGAACCGAGCAACCCCCCCGGGATGGGGACAGGGACCTCGGTACGAGGACAGGGACCCCAGTACCACAGTCGGACAGAGTCCCCGTGCCCGCGGGTCGGACCGGCTCCACCGTGTCGGGATCGGCTGCTACCCCCGCACCCCGAGCGCAGTCCCTCCGCACCCCCGGCCCGGCTCCCCCGCGCTTCCAGCCCAGCTCCTCCTGCAACTCCCACCCGCTCTCCCTGCACTCCAATCCCGCTCCCCCTGCACCCGCCACCGGTTCTCCTGCACCCCCGTTGGCTTTCCCCGCATCCCCGCCCGGGTCCCCCCGCACTCCCGCACCGCTCCCCCCGCGCCCTCATCCCGCACCGTCCCGGTGTTTCCCGGAGCTCTCGCCCGGTCCTGGCGCCGAAACTCCGCCTGAGCCGCCCCCGACCCTCCGGCCGGAGGAACTGAGGGGGCGGACGGAACCCGGTCCCTTCCCGTCGCGGTTCCCGGTGCCCCCCAGCCCCGCGGGGCTCGCCCCCGCCCCAGCCCCACTCACTGGCCGCAGCCCCCGGTGGCCGCCGCTCCGCTCCGCTCCCCCCGCTCCGTGCCCAGCCGAGCCGAGCCAGCCCCGGTGCCGCCGCACCGTGCGCCTGCCCGGCCCGGCCCCTCCCCGAGGTGCGGCTCAGCCCCGGGAGCGCGGTCGGGGCCGGCTGGGACCTGCCCCGCCGCACCGGGCGGGGGCACCGGGATCCCGCCCCGAGGCATGGAGGGGGCTGGGGGCGGGAGCACAGCCCGGGCTGGGGGGGTGGAGCAAGGGGGAGCCCACCTGGTCATCGGTGTGATGAGTCTGTGTGTGTGTAGGGGGGAGGTGTCTCTGTCATCAGTGCGATGAGTTTGGGGGGAGTCTCAGCCTGTCTCTGCTGAGCGCTGCCCACTGGGAGAGATTCTCAAGGGACAAAGACAGAGTAGGAGGGGCTGTGTCACCCACAGGGGGCCCTGCACCGGCCTCCGGTGGGCTCGGGGGTGAGAGCCGGGAGCAGGGCTTGCAGGCAGCCCCGCCCGTGTAAGGATACACAGGCCTGGAGGGGCCTCCCGGAGGAATGTCAGCTGACGGATAAAGCCGGAGCCCTTGGCAGGACAGCGGGACCCAGAAAACCCCAGAAAAGCCCCGGAAAAGCCCTTCCTGTGGAGGGCTTGGGGCCAGGGCAGCCCCAGCCTGGGGGCACCGACAGGGCTCGGTGGTCCCTGTCCTGACAGGGGTGGTTGTAGCCCTGAAGCTGGGATGGGGTACCCCACAGACCCTGGGGATGGGGAAATGCCCCAGGAGATTTGGGGCACCCCTGGGAGAGGTTCCCAGGCTGATGCTGCTATTTCAGGAGGGTGAAGCACGAGGGCGAAGGATGCAGAGGAAAGTTCAATGTGCCTCTGGCAGGTCCTGCCCCAATCCAGGCCGAGGTAGAAACAATCCGGGGAGAAAGGGTGGCTGAGCAGGAGACAGCACAAGGACTGGCACCCGCCAGAGCCAGCAGCATCTGTGGCACAAAAACTGGCACCCACCGGAGCCAGGGGGGATGGGATGGTGTGTCCAGGCTCAGTGCTTCGACCGCTGCCACCCTCCTGCCCTTCTTCCTAAGGAGCCTTTGGCATCAGAATGGCGTTGGGGGTTGGATCATCCCTTCCTGCCCTCACAGGGCAGGGCAGCGCAGGCGAGGGGCTTTGTAGTGGCCCTCTGTGCCTCAGTTCCCCCAGGGATTTGGAATGCAGACTCCAGGACTGGATAGTCCCCACTCTCCAGGCAAGGCTGAGCCTTGGATAAGCGGTGCTGGGAGCAGAGGCCGGCTGTCCTGCCGCCCCCACACCGGCAGCCCGGCCTCTCCACCGGCTGCTTCCTTCCGCCGGAGGGTTTCCCGGCTGCTGATTCAGCACGAGACCCCCGTGACCCCCCGTGGGGCCACCGGCAGGCGTCTGTCCCGCCGGGGCTGCCCTGTGCCTACCCCGCGTTCGCCTTTGTGTCCCCCCCATGGAGGGTGATTTCCTCATCCTCTTCCCATGGGAACCCTCACATTCTCCCATGGTGGGTGATTTCCTTCCCCCTTCCCAGGGGCACCCTCATTTTCCCCCCCACAACAGATGATTTCTTCTCCTCTTTCCCGTAGGGACCCTTCCCAGGCTTCCAGTCCCCATTGTTTGCTCCTGGGGTTTTTGTAGGTCCTACAGAAACGCCCCACCATGCTGTGGGGTCAGTGGGGGGTGATGTCACCGAGTGCTGGGACTCGCTGCCCTTGGTCCCCTCCCGGGGCGGTGGGTCCCTGGCACGAACCTTCCAGCATGGGCAGAGCCCGATCCCAGTTTCCCGGTGCCCTGGGTGGGCTGGGAACCACAATCCCCGTGGTGGGACTGGGCAGAACTGGTCCTTCCAGCACAGAGGCCACGGTGAGGGGCTGGGATGCCGCTCAGCACCGGGATCTGGACCCCAGCCAGGCTCTATCCAAAAACATCGACACGCCGGGCGCATTTTTTCCAGGCTTACCTTTCCTCGGGAGCCGCAGGGACGGGCGGCTGGCACGGCTGGCACGGTGGCACCGCTGGCTGAGCCCTGTCTCCGCGGTGGCTCCCCTCGGGAAGGCGAGAGCCGTCCCTGGAGCCGGCGGTCCGGGGGGGTCCCTGTCGCCCTCCCAGCGCCTCCCGCAGCCCCGGCCGGGGCTCGGAGCCGTTTCCACCGGAGCCCCTGACGCCGTCAGCACATTTCCACCTCCTTTGCCAAGTAAATAAATACGCACCGGCTGGCACGGGGGGCTGGTGGAAATCGGGGGCGCCGGAGGCAATCCTGGAGCTCCCGCCGAGGGTTCCCGTGTCAGCCGAGCCCCCTGGCCCGCGGCCCCTCAGCCCCTGCCCGCCGGGTTAATAACTAATCCCTTCCCGGTCCTGCTCTCCTCACGTGCCAGAATTAATGGAGCGAGAACCTCCCAGGTACCCCCCGCGCCACCGGGTCGGGCTTTAACCCTGTGCCCCGGTGCGGATCCGGCCTGGGATGCGGTGGCATCCCTGGAGGGGTCTGTCCATGCCGGCAATGATCCGGGTGCGAGGGCAGGGTGAGGGCGTGTGTGGGTCAGCCCCACACCCCCGGGAAACGCTGCGCCCCATCCCACCCCTGTGTGGGCACAGCCGGGGCTCGGCGGGGTGGGCAGGGGGGGTCAATGGGGTTTGGGGGGTGCCTGTGTGCCCTGCCAGGGCCAGCTGAGCCCCTGCCCCCCTCCCAGCACCCCCCAGGGTCTGTCCTGCTTGGTCTCAGGAATCGGAGCAGAAAGCCTGGACTGTTTGGGGGGATTACACTAAGGACCTTATGGGGAATTAGGGTGGGGACAGGGCTGGTTTGGGGGGCTGGGGGTGCCAGCTCCTGTCCCCTACGCAGTCCCAGCTCCTCAGCGTCCCATCCCTGCCCTCTGGTGGCAGCTGGGCCCAGCGTCACACCAGATTGGCACTGGTGTAACTGGGTGCACCTAATGCAGGGAGGCATCGTGAGCCCCCTCCCCTGCAGCCGGTGGGAGATGCTGCACCCTTGTGTTTGGGGGACACCCTGGGTGCCCTGGGGGGGCTGCAGCCTGGCGGGGACCCCCCCAGAGGTTGTCAGGTAGGGGCCAGGAGCTGGGTGAGCCCCCTCCCTGCAGCCGGTGGGAGATGCTGCACCCTTGTGTTTGAGGGACACCCTGGGTGCCCTGGGGGGGCTGCAGCCTGGCGGGGACACCCCCAGAGGTTGTCAGGTAGGGGCCAGGAGCTTCGTGAGCC